AGCGGGTGGGCGAGCGGGCGTGCAGATGGGCGAGCGGGCGTGCGGACGAGCGTGCGGGCGTGCAGGCGAGCGGGCGTGCATGCGTGCGTAGGACATTCCAAAAGTAAGCATTTCTGCGAAAAATGTTTCATACAAAAGTTGCATAGTTTAAAATATCTATTTACTGATCTTATCAGTTTGACTTTAGGTTGCGTTACCAAGATCAAATTGATTTTTTTAAACGGAACATCCTATTTTTTATTTCAGAATCTAATAGTTGGTGTCAAGAACTGTTCAAAACATATAATACAATTCTTTTCCATTAAATACTTTTCAAGTTATAATACTTGAAAGTTACAGAACTATCGGCATTAGCACTTCTAAAAAGGTATCTAACCGACGATTAAAGCCTCTTAAATGTTATTCAGGATCGAGACTAGGATAACATTTGTCAAAATCAAGATCATTGGAGTTCATATCTCTTATCCAGTGAGAAATGAGAATGAAATCGACATCGAATCGACGTCAATTTCATTGTCATTTCTCACTGAGTTATTTTCATTTTTACGTAAAAATGAATTTTTAATGCAAAAATGAAAATAAGAAAAATAATTTCCAATGGCCTTGATCTAACAAATGTTATCCAGGACATAATCCTAAACAACATTTACGGAGTTTTAGCCGTTGGTTGGACACATTAAGTAATGCTAATGTTGACGGTACTGTAATTTCCTATATTTTTATAACTTTAGCTTTATAACTTGGAAAGTACTTAATAGAAAATAATTTTATTATATGTTTTGAAAAGCTCTTGACACCAGCTATTAGATTCTGAAATGAAAAATAGGATGTTTTATTTAAAAAAATAGATTTGACCTTGACTTGACCTTAATAGCGCCACCTAAGGTCAAACTGATAAAATCAGTAAATAGACCATTTTAAACTATACAATTTTTGTATAAAACATTTTTTTTTCAGAAATGCTTATTTTTCTATATTATATACTAAAGATATTTAAGCGGTCCGAAACTTTTCGAATATCCTGTATATAACCATTTATACAATATAATTATTTATAATTATAACAAACATTTATGTTAATATTAATTCTAGAAATTTATATATTCGGTTCATTTTTGTTTCAACAGAAAATATACATTTTTTTCCAAAATAAATTTTCTTCATTTTCAATAATTATGTTTATTAAAAGATACATGCAGTATTTTTTTTCTGAAAGTTTGAAGTATCCAAGTTTTTACTTTCCAAAATGTATATTTAAAATATTTTTGTAACTTACGTACAAAAAATAAGAATTTTTAAATAAAATATAGTTGTTTTCGAAACTATTGTTTACTTTATAGCTTATAACTTTTTTATTAATATGGATACGTACATTTGTTTGGTACCGTTATATTCCTTACTGCCTGGTGTTTCAATTAAAAAAACAAATTGTTAAAATATGTTTATTTTTATGAATGTTCTGAGCAATCAAAGTTGGCTTAGATATGCTGTTCCAAGTGTGAAGGTTAACATTATAAAAGGGATTCAAGTGTTTTTAAGGGTTATATAATGTTACACAAGGTCACATTTTGTGCGTTTGTGTTATTTTCACTATTTTATACGTAAAAACTTCCGCGCTATATCTCGTTAACCGAAATGTTTTTATCTTTGGTGGTGATAAACGTTGATGCTAAGATTGATTAAAATCCAAGTGGGACAAAAGTTATGTTTCCATGTAAATGCTCCATATCATTTTACAATTTTCGCAATAATTAATGAGATATTAATTTCTAAAAATTGCATATCCGCCCAGCCTACCGCCGCTCTCCTCTTCGATCGTAATCATTAGTCACATGGGGAATTGTTTTCTTTCGCCGCCGTGCGTAATTATTGTCGATATAATAACTATATTGTCACTTATAATAAACAAATCCTCTCGTGCGTAGCGACTACGACCGATGAACGTTTGACGATAAGCCGCACTGTGCCGGATGGATATGCGCTTATCTAGCGATATTTAGAAATTAATATCTCGTTAACTATTATCGTTAACTAACGAAAATTGCAAAATGGTAGGACTTTTCAACTCAATTCAATCCGCTCTATCTGTACACGAGCATCGTTCTGAATATTCTGAAACGCTGTATGTTCCAAACATTTTGATGACATATTAGTTCAATAATATATAATCCTTTTAATCTAACTTTTTAATTTAATCTAGTTAATGTATTTGCTAAATCTACAGTTTTAGTTTTAATCATATATAAATTTTGCAATTTATGACAGTTATGCATGTTTGCAAAATTTGATTTTTTGTTCGTGCTGTTTGGGAAAGAAGAATATAGTTTTTGATGCGCTAAACCCGAATTTGTAAGTGAAATGATTCTATCACGTCAGGCTTCTGAGAAAAATGAGATATACTAGGTCCACAAGTATGAAATGCGGATTTTTTTCAAAAAAAAAAAAAGAAACACGTTAAATTCGGAAAAATGATAAAAAGAGCTTTATTCAAAATATGCTCCATTGCTAGTTACACATTTTTCCCATCTTTCGGGCAATTTGTGGATATTACGCTAGTAAAAATCTTCCCCCTTTGCCGCGAACCATTCATCGAGCCATTTTTTCACATCTTCGTACGAACCAAAGCGCTGCTCAGCAAGTGCGTGACCCATCGATGTAAACAAGTGGTAATCGGAAGGAGCCAAGTCTGGTGAGTAAGCCGCATGGGGTAGAATTTCCCAGCTGAGTGCTTCCAACGTGTTGCGAACCGATTTTGCCGTATGTGATGGAGCATTGTCATGAAGAAAAATGACTTCGTGTTGTCTCTTTTGGTATTCTGGTCTTTTTTCAAGCAGCGAACGGTTCAAATCGATCAATTGTTGTTGGTAGCGTCCAGCATTAACCGTTTCACCAGGTTTTAACAGCTCATAATAGACCATACCCTTCTGGTCCCACCAAACACAGAGCATCGTCTTTCTGCCAAAGCGATTCGGTCTTGCGGTCGATGTGGATGGTGCGCCTGGGTCTACCCATGATTTTTTGCGCTTGGGATTCTCAAAATAAATCCACTTTTCATCCCCACTAACGACACGATGCAAAAACGACTTCCTTTTGTATCGTGCAAGCAAAATTTCACATGTGTTTTTGCGCCTCTCCATCTGCCTGCCGTCCAACTCA